TGTAGTCAAATCAAATAAACAATTGAATATAGCATTTAAGTAAGAACAAATAAGAATAGTCACATGAAAATCCTTTACTGTGTATAAACACTAACAGAAAAAGGTAAAGCAGAATGACAGTGGAGACCTGTGAGACTTGTGTGTTATCTTTTTGGTGACGGTGAGCAAATGCATACAAAGATGTTTACCTGTGTTTTTTTTAATTGATTTCTGGAAATATGAAGCCAATTTTCTGAAAGAAGGCTTTTTTTGGGTCACATTCACTGGCCGCTTTATTAGGTACACCTGTAGAATTGTGTGCACTTCAAAGCAACACTTCTGCCTTAACATGTGTGTTTATGAGGTGTCTCTATATTTTTGTCCTCTCCAGCTACATACATGAGAGGGACAGAATATTAGGAACACCTCAAAATATAATGTAGTCCAGTACAACACCACCTTTAACTATGACTTCAACAATAATCTTATAAATGAATTTATACATTGTATGGCAATTTAGCCCAAAACTGTAATGTTCTGAGATTCATAAACACAGATGCAAGGCAGAAGTGTTGCATTGATTTGCATTGTATTGTACAGATGTACCTAATAAAGTGGCTGGTGAGCATATTTTGTGTTCTCATTGATTTGATTAAACTGGGTCACTAGCAGATTATAGTGAGGATACAGTCTGTTTTCACTTTTCAGTCCTGTTTGTAGTAGGCAGTGAAATAACTGGGCCATTTTTCTCCTCTCTCTCTCTCTCTCTCCCCCCTTCCTCCTCACCCCCCTCTCTACAGTAAGTACCAGTCAGTGAACATCAGTACTAACCTGTATGTGATCAGCCAGCCATGGCTCTACACTCTGGCCTGGTGTGCAGGAGCTCAGTCTGTAACCACCAACTCCGTCCACATCCTGTCCAACATCAACAAGCCACTCTTCCTCATGGTGAGCAGGTTCAACTCTGTTATCAGATCAGGGCTCCAGACTAGCACTTCATACTGGTGGCACTCGTGCCGCCAAGCCTCTCAGATGGTGGCACCACCTCAGTTTTACAACCTAATGCAGATGACTCTATTTTTCCACACTTCATTTTAAATACCCTTACCATGCAATGTGGATAGCCTATATGTATAATGAAATTCAGAGAGAGAGAGAGGCTTATGGAACACAGTAAATGGCAAAGCCACCTCTTTTTATGTCGTCACTGTAGTGCTCTATAGCCTAGCAGTCAACATGATGACACTGATGGTGACAACGGTGATGATATTAGGTTGTGTTTAATTTGAACTATAACCGATGAATTGCACACATGCTTTGTATTTGCTGGGGTCTGTCAGAGGTTTCTTCCATTAGAGGGAGTTTTTCCTCTCCACTGTCACAACCCGTAGTTCCTCTTTTCCTTGTGGTTTTTAAAGGATTCTCATCCGTAGACCTCTTCCAGTTATCTAACCAAATTCCACAGTTTGCAGTTAACCCCTTATTTGGCGTGCAAAGTCATGTTTTCAGAACTATTACATAAGAAGAATTAATAAAAATACAGGAAGCTTGCATCTGATTGAAATACAAAAAAATCTCATCATTGCTTTTAACTAAACCATCAGAATTACACGCTGCTGCACAAAACTATCAGTGCCTTAAAATTAAAACATAGATCTCTATATTTTGAATACAACATTTCACTAGACATTGATTAACTTTGATTAAACAATAATTATCAATCAAATCTTTACTTTATGCATGAAACCATCATTTTTGGATTAAATGTTAGTATTGTCATTCTAGACAAATAACAGGGGAATGAGAAACAGACTTTTACCTTAAGGTTTGTGTAGCAGGGCAAGAGGGAGACACTTGGCAGGAAGCTCAAGTGTCATTTTACAAAAACCTTTAATTAAAAAATTTGTTTTAATTGGTTAATTGATCCATCCGTTTTCAGCTGCTTATCTGGATCCAGGCATGAATGACTGAGACAATGGGCACCTGAGCATAAACAAGTAACACAGCTCAATAATATCTGTCATAACACTGTCATCATCATCATCATCAAGGCTTTTTTTTTCTCCAAGCTTTGGAAAGCTCCTTTAGACAAGACGAAATATATATGAGAAAACACAATGCTCCTGCCAACACTGCCTGCCTGAGGCAGATGAAACGGAACGTAGCTTAAAAGTTCTGATTTGCTCTGATTTGTTTGCCTTTAGAAACAAATGAATCCAAGGCTATTATTACTGCAACCTAAGCCAGCCTATCAAAAGGTTGACATATCATTACGTATCTGATTTTTGTTATTGAGATGTTTAGTTTTTGTCTCTGATACTTAACACGCAGCCAAATTTGTCCAACAACAGTAAAATGTTCTAAGAAATCTTTTTGCAAACTTAGTTTTGAAAGAAAAATAACCAGTTTAACCAGCTCTTATTTAAACTCATTAGAAGGTTTGAAAAGTGGCAAAACGTAGTTATTTCCACATCTTTATTAAAGGAGTTGTCAGTGAACACTCCTGCCAGTGTTTAGCTGTGTTTACAGGAACACTGTGATCAAAACGTACAGCTCAAAACACAAGATGACATTTGTATCTTAGACATGTAGATTTTGCTTGTATCCACTGCAGCTCTCTGTGAGCGTGAAGGTAGGAGGTTCTCTACCAGGCTGGAAATCTCTTCAGCAGGCGTTGTGGGCGTTTGCAGACTGAACCTATGACTTCTGGTTACATAAACGTTCTCTCAGCACCTGCACGTCTGTGTGTATATTCAAATGAATTTGAAGGTTTTAATACAAGTGTCCGAGCCTAAGACCAGTACTCTGTGGTCACTAAGTGGAGCAATGACATTCGTTGTCCACACTCTGTCTCTGTCCTAACAAATCAGAGGAGCTGTTGTTTGGGCAGAGGTAACCAACCCTTTCTCTGTCTGTCTCTCTCTCCAGACTCCAGAGGAATATAGCCTAATGTGGATTCTGACTGATGCCGTGTCCGCCTTCCTTGTCATTGCAATTTTCACATTCCATTGGTATGAGAAACACACAGACGCTGCTCTCATAATGACTTCCTCTGCTAATAGTAGTGTCTGGTGATGGGCTGATAAAGCTGTAGGGCTGAGTCATCCTGGCTGCTGATGGGGGTTTATTAATCAGTGGCCTGGGACACCATTGTGAAGACAATAGTTTTTGATCAGTGTAAGAACAGAACATTGATTTGATTTATTTATTCTTTCAAACATGTAACAACAGTCAATATGTAACCACACATAATTCCAAACATATCCACAAATATATTTTCAATTTGCTTATACCTAGTACATGCTTGAACGGAGTAGGAAGAAGTCAGACTTATCCAGTCCTACCCCATGACATCATCTTATCAACATTGGTTTGCAAGCAGTATTACTACATGGATACATATTCTACATCCACACTCCCATATGATTAATCATTAAGCCTGTTCTTGCCCATATCTTGATTGACACATACCTTTATAACATTTGTGGGGGTAAGTTGACACAGGAACAGTTTAGCTTCTGTTTCACTGAGTTCTGTAACTCGATTAAGTTTCTCATTCAGGATTCCTTTTATCTGTCATTAGAAAAACGAAATGTGTCCCCTCAGAGTTTAGGTTCATTATTCACAGACTGATCAGCGTCTGCTACAAGGAATATAAACACTACAGCGTTCAGTCCTCTGTGTCCTGGTGTTATCACAGATGTGTCTGAACCCCTTGACTTGCTCAGACACCTCTAATGTCACACCGAGACATTTAGCTCACAAACATCCAGGGATTATAGGAAATGTTTTTTTTTTTTTTAAGGCTGCTGAATAAACGGTGATATTAAATCATTTTTAGTTTATCTAATCAGTCTGAGACTGCTGTATTATGGCAGTTAAAGGTGTCAGTGGCATTTTGAATTGCGTTGTCTTACTTATGGAACAAGACTCAGGAGTCCTGGTCTCACTCTTAGTTAACATGAGAGTTGATCTGTTTTTTTAATCCATTTTTGTGTAGTATTGGCCATCATTCAAATCATTTGTTTTTCTTGCAAGCTTCATAGCACACATACTGTGGCACCACTAGACAGCTTGGTGTTGGGGTCCGTGCCATCACAAGTAATCAGACAAGTAGAAACAAACCTGACCTGTCCAGTATATCATTGAGATCTAAGACATTAGAGATGCAGGAAATACAGGTCTGACCTGTTTAATCAAAACACTGTTTTTCATTTTTTGAGTTGGGATTCAGTTAAGTCAAGAGACACTAATGAGCACATTGGACATTCTTGTGATCAGCTGTCTGTGTGTAAAGAATCCAGGTTAGTAAATTTGGATTGTGTAATACCCAGATCTAGAATAAAACCTTAAGCTAACAAGATTTTGAACAGTACTTCGCATGTAAACGCACTGTTAAGCAGTCAATAAGCTTCAACAAAAGTGTTTGTTGGATGGTTGAACAGCTGTATCATCTTTTTTATCATCGGTCCCTTTTTCTCTGTTTCATACCTGGGCTTTAATCAACACTCCCCTGGGCTCCCTTGCACACACACCTGCTGCTTAGTGTATACATCAAAGCTGCTACACTGGCACATGTGGCACCCTCAAAGCACTTTGACGGACTGATAAACACACCTGGTTTCTCTCAGCAGCTCTGATCTCTCTCTGGTGTTGTGTGACAGGTGGAGAGAGAGGGGCCTGCCCTTCTGGTCCAGCAGCCGACAGACTCAAGAGAACGGACCATACAGCAAGTTCAGGACAGGTAGGAGGACTTTTTTTTCTTCTTCTCTTGATGCTTTGTTGGAGTTTGGGTGGCTTCGCTGTGTGAATGAATGTAAAACAACACCTTAGGTTGTTTTACTCTGTTCAGTACATTATTCATTATGTGTTGTGTGTCAGACTCTTCAGAGGTCATCTGTGTTGGCTGGAGCCCCCTCCACTCTGATTCCTCTGCTGGAGCCCTTGTCTCCCTCCCTATGGTCTTCAACCCATGACACCTTGCTTGTCAGACATGCATGTCAGCCCTCCAGGACGCTTGCATGAATCCTGAACCCTGTTTGCGCTGTACAAGTCCATGCTTCCTGTTGAAAACTAGCCTCTGTGAAGCCTATACACTACAGATCCAAAGTTTTAGAACACCCCCATTTTTCCAGTTTTTATTTTGACATGTGAGCAGTTCAAGTCCAGCGGATCATCTTAAATGGTACCAAACTAAGACCTAAACTGCCAGAGGTTAAAAAAGGCGCCAGAAACTAAAAACATAACATTTCTTATACAGTAAAAACATTCTTTTATCAGGGACCCAGTAACAGGTGAACTTCCATCTTTTCTGCAACAGTGGACATAAATGAAGCCTTGAAAACTGATGCAAACGATTCCTACAGGTTTTTCCAACAGTTGTTGATGAGTTAGTACAAAGGCAGTGTTGGGAAAAGTCTGAGCTACTGCAGCCTCTGAAAAAAGGCCATGAATAAAGGAAGTCGGAGCTTCTCAGGGTTTCATCCTGTAGCAGGATAATGAGCCACAAACACCTTCAGGCTGTGGAGAAAAGAACAAGACGGTCGGCTTCATGTGTCGGAACGGCAGCAACGGGGTCCAGACTTTCCAGATGAAGAGTGAAAACAAGGCAGCCTGTAAGTGCAACACATCTGTGGGAACATCTGCAGCAGTGCTGTCTGTCCCAACACTGATTTCATTTGTAGAGGGAATGACACGGGTGTGTTCAGCTGTTGGATCACACTGAAAACAACTGGAAACATGGAGGTGATTAAAAACCTTTGACCAGTAGTGATTAGACAGTAAGTAACTAAACACAAGTAAGAGATTTGTGTGATTTAAATGTCTGTGGTGATTAAACACCACTAGAAAAGCAACAGCATGACCCTGCCCTTGGAGTCAATATGGGTTAATACATTTGTAGAAATAAAAGTCTGGAGCTGGACGAGTGATAGCTGTCACAAACGCCTCGGGCATTC